ATGTAGGCCAAAATGTATTCTGCTACCTGTCTTTGCTAAAAAAAAAATCCCAATACATGTAAATCAATATTGGTTTATGTGAAAGTTTTAACGTCTACAAATGGCGGTATAGATACTGGAATTTTATATATATATATATATATATATATATATATACACTAGTAATGGCAGCGATCAGCGACTTATAACGAGACTGCGGGACTGCAGCAGGCATTCCCAATGATATCCCCAGCGACACCAATACAGTGATCAGTGCTAATAAAAAGCACTGACACTGTACTAATGACACCGGGCAGGGTGGGGTTAACATCTGGGGCAATCAAAGACACAACTGTGTGCTGTTAAAGGCATGAAAGGGTGCTGTGCTACTTGGTGAATGATCAGTGGAAACATAAACTCAATGTAAATATGTCCCTCATCCAAGTGTGAACATAACATATAGAAACATATAAATTGGTGCAAACAATGCCAAGTGACAATAACAGCCGCAAAAAAGGCTATAAAGTGCTGGTGACACAAGTGAATAAATAAATAATGCTGATGTATAAAAAAAAGTGACTCAGTCTCAAAAAATCAATCAAAAAATAATTAATAAGTGACTCAATCCAGAAAAATCAAAAAGTGTTTTCAGGGTCTGGTCTAATAGCACAAAGGAAGCCTGTGGGAATGAAGGACTGAGTATGCAAAATTGCCTTTGTGATGCATTTAGCTATCGTACTCTGGGGGTTTCCCCACTGCAAGGGAGGATTTTTGTTGAGTTCAGCTTTAAAGAGACTGTTAATAACTTGCAACTAATCTTATGTTATTGAAGAGTGCTTTATTTAGGACTTAAATTATCTCTTTTTGGACTCAAGTTCCTAAGTTACAGATATACTGTATATAGAGAGAACTTCTCATACAAGGGTGTTGAAGTTTGTGCACCATTACCTGGTAACAAATGTTATTCTGTAATAAAACTAAAAGTGATTTGTAAGTCAGTGTCCTTGCATAAGTATGAGGTGTGACAATTTAATTCCAGGAATGCCTGTAGCTTAGCACTATGTGGTGAATTACACAGCCATTGGCAGTAAAGTGTGTTCTGCTGTTCTAACTTGCACTTGTTTGGGTCACAGACCAGTTAACTCAGTCTTTATGGAGTTGTAGAAGAAATAACACGTGTGTGTGTCGCACTGCTGGAGGAAAATGAATAACAGGAGTCTAGAGCAGCAGGTTAACATCAAATTTTTCATGAAAATTGGCAAAAGTGTAAATAAAACTTTAGCTCTGTTACAAAAGACTTATGGTGAACATTCCATGAAGAAATAAAGTGGTTTTGAATGGCATAAGCAGTTTAAAGAAAGGTGGGAAGATGTCCATGATGACACACGAAGTGGGCAGCCAAAAATGCAAAGAATCAATGCAAATATGGGACAAAATAACGATGTGTAACTCAGATTGAAGATTGAGTGTGTGAATGATGGCAGAAGAATTGAACGAGATCAGGGAATGGTGTGGCAGATTCTAATAGAGGATTTGGGAATGAGAAAGATTTCTGTGAAGATGGTGCCTCTAATCTTGACAGAAGATCAGAAAAATTCAGATTTCATCTGATCTCTTGAAAATTGCAGAGGTGTTTGATAGGGTTATTACCAGTCCATTCAGGGAATTAAATTGTCACACCTAGTATACCCAACTTAGGCCACCAGTCTAGGTTGCAAAATAGTCAACAACTGTATGGGCAATAGCCTTTTCTTGCTATAATTGATAATAATAAGAAAGGAGACACCGCTCTAGGTTTGTGTAGCAGGATCCACCCAGGACTCCAACTGCAGAGGTGCTCATCCAGCTCACCTCCGGGAACCACAACAATAAAAGAGAATGGCTGCACACTCCGCTGGGACGCAGAAGTGTATTTAAACATTCTTATAAACAAATATCAAAGTTCATAGCACACAAAATAAGAGCACAATCAGTAGAAAGGGTGACATGTCTCATGCTCCATAGCGCTTATTCATAACATTATGTTATAAAAAAGCGCTATGGAGAGTGAAATGCATCAACATTTCCCCTGATTGAACTCTTATTTTGTGTGCTATGAACTTTTATATTTCTTTATAAGAATATTTAAATACATTTTCACATCCCAGCCAGTGAGCAGCCATTTTTCTTCTATTGTAGCCCTTTCTTGCTGTCAGAGTATCTTTAAATTCATATATTTTTCAGTTCAGCACTTGTTTTTTCACTAAATAAGCAGCACAAAAAACAAGTAAAAAAACATAAATTTGAAATGTCCAGAGAACAATAGATCTCTAAATAAGAGTGTAAAATACATTCACATTGAATGTGCAGTTATCATACTTTGGCATCTATTAAGTACAGTAATTTGCAGGAACACGTCAATACAGTCTCCTTCTTTGGCTAAAAATATTAAAAAAAAATATTTTCTTTCAAAACCTTAAGTACTTAGCTGCACAGTTGTTCACATTGTGCCCTTCTAGTAAAGATAAACTGTAATAAACATGACCTATGAAACCGCAGTCAATATTTTTTGTTTTTACCAGCTTCTGTGTATTGTTCTGATGTATGCTAGCAAAGGTAACTAAACACACAGTAATTGTTCAGACTTGTTTCTTAGAATAGACAGGCTACCTTTTGTCTTATATTAAGCAATAGTTCATTCAGTCAGTTGTATAGGCTGTAGTAGGCTGTAGTCATTAGCAAATCATAGTAGGAAAGAAAAAATCACCTCTAAGTGCAGTATCAGGACATTTAATGCAGAACAATAAAAAAATCACTCACATGGTGAAAGAATTAAAAAGGCTCATCAATATTGGAGTGTCAATAGAAGTCATCACTGGGTGAGCCGCGATCCGCGCCTGGGGAGACTCTGGATGAAGAGAACTGGTGTGTGTGGAGCGCAACTTCGACATCAGTGTGATGATGTGAAGAGGACCAGCATGCAATGTGATGCGTTTTGGAGCATGTGCAAAGCCAATGGACGGAAAGCGTGCTCCCTTCACAAGCATAGGCAAAACGCATTGCATGCTGGTCCTCTTCATGTCATCATGCTGACACCAATGTTGCACTCCAAGGTGTGTTCCATTGCCCATCTACTGAGATACACACAAGAACCTTTTTAATTCTTCCACCATATGAGTGATTTTTTTATTGTTCCGCATTAAATGTCGTTATACTGCACTTAGAGGTGCTTTTTTCTTTCCTATTGTGTTTCATCCAGAGCCTGCTACAGCTTCAAGAGCATGCCCTAGTGCTATGTGGACTTGCATACATTGAACTTTAATATGTGCATTTACTTGTTCTCTGGAATTATTTTTCGCTGATTTTATTGTTTTTTGTCATTAGCAAATCATAGACATACTGAGCCTGATTTACGAAAGTAAAAAACAAGGTGAAGTGCAGAAAAGGGAGCCAGTATTCACCTCAATATGAGAACATTTATTTCTTCCTGTAGATGATTGACTTTGTGAACAGAGGTTTACTGCTCTTCACGTTACTTCACATTTTAGAGCCTGACTGCAAGGGTTAATTGATCTTTTTTCAGTCCAAGAGGCAGTAAAAGCACTTTTACTAACCTGATCCTTCAATCCCCCGGCAAAGGGCACTCCCGTGTGCTCCAGAGTGAACTGTTCCTCAGCATTCTTATATCCAATGGCAGGGCTATGGTCCCTGCATCAGCCTTGATGACATTAAAGGACCTTAGACTGCCAGAGTATGATGGAGAAAAGGCTGCTGGGACAAGTCTATCAGCATGGAGGAGTGGAGGATCTGGTAAGTAAAACTGTTTTTTTCCAAAACCCCTATACATAAAGAATGAGGCTCCATACATACAGCTCTGGAGTGAGCGTGCACTGTGTCCCCATAGCAAGCAGCTTGCTATGGTGGCACTTGGGAGGGAGGAGCCAAGATCGCCAGCAGAGGACCCCAGAATAGACAGTGCCATTACACAAAACAGGTGACTATAACATGTTTATTTTTTATTTATTTTTTATTTTTTTAAATTGCTTTTAGTTTCACTTTAAAAATGATACCTTGCAGTGGGGCTGCACGCATACTGCAATGGTTAATTTAGTCTAGAGGAAAAGAGAAGCACTTTATCTTACCTGATCCAATGCTCCCCCAGCGGATGGCGTTTCTCTACAGTCTGATGGTGGGCTATCCCTTGGTGTTGTCACATCCATTGCAAGGCTATGATCCCTGGATTAGTTTATATGATATCAAATCTTATACAACTGGAGCATGGGGGAGAAGACGTTGTGGGGACAGGTCTGGCAGCACAGTGGAGTGGAAGATTGGGTAAGTAGATCTTCTTTTCTATGTTCCCTGGACTTAAAAGAGCAGCTCAGCCCCACCTCAAGGGATAATTTTTAAGTTTCCTGGAGTTGGGATTTAAATCCCAAGCAGTGTTGTCAGAATTGCCTGTTTCCCCTATTGGACTGCAGAAAAAAACTCCCCATCTTCTGATATCCATAACATATATGAGAGGTGTAAGGGTAAAAGTAAGATTCAGATACGGATGTCTCACTGCAGTTTTTGCTTCATACTTTTTCTGAGTCACTGACTCTGAACATGCTAAAGCCAGAAGCAGCCAGGCATATTATACTCTAAGTGCCCAGTCATACCGGTGCGATTTCAGGTGCAATTTAGGAATTGAAATTGCATCTAATGAATGTGAATGTCAGTCTCTTAACATTTGTTATATGCTTCAGCGCGATTTCTAATGTAGTTCTTGCAATAATTTTTCTGCAGTTTTGTTGCGATTTCACATACATAGAATATAATGGGATTCGCACAGCAAATTGCAAGAAATCGTTGAAAATCTTCACAAGTAGCAATAAAGTCTTCAGAAATCGCACCTGAAATTGCGCTGAAATTGCACACAAATCAAGCAATTTTAAATTGCTGCGGGGTGACTGGTGACTTAGAGGTTTGCAATGGCAGCCTACTTACCGTATTTTTCACTCCATAAGACGCACTTTTTTCCCCCCAAAAAAGGGGGGGAAATGTCAGTGCGTCTTATGGAGCGAATAAGGAGCGGCCGGTCCGGTATTTCCACCGCGGCCGTATCAGAATACCGGGCCAGCCGCTCAGCTCTGCAGCGGGACCTTATGGAGATGACTGCTGACCTTTGGGGAGGTGGGGAGCGGGTACCTGAATTTGACAGGTACCCGCTCTTACTTCTTTGTTCTTTGACCTTACCTGTTCCTCTATCCAGCGGCGCGCTGTCTTCCCGGCTTCTGTAGTGTGGGCACTGGGCATGATAGCCGGGTGCCAAGTGCGCATGCACAAGAAGCGGTGCTTTTTGTGAATGGTAAGGTGGTACCTGGGACACATGACAGATCCCAGAAGCCGCCGGACCAATCACAAAGCGCAAGTGCTTCTCGCTCATGCGCACTGGGCACCCGGCTGTCATGCCGAGCGCCATTACAGAAGCCGGGAAGACAGCGCGCAGCTGGATCGAACAGGTAAGAAGTAAGAGCGGGTACCTGTCAAATTCAGGTACCCGCTCCCCACCTCCTTAAAGGTCAGCAGTCATCTGTACTGTCCGCAGTCTCTGGTCATCCCTGTGCTGTCCGCAGTCTCTGGTCATCCCTGTGCTGTCCGCAGTCTCTGGTCATCCCTGTGCTGTCCGCAGTCTCTGGTCATCCCTATGCTGTCCGCAGTCTCTGGTCATCCCTGTGCTGTCCGCAGTCTCTGGTCATCTCCTGTACTGTCTGCAGTCCATTAGTTCAGAATTTTTTTTTTCTGTTTTCTGCCTCTAAAACCTAGGTGCGTCTTATGGTCAGGTGCGTCTTATGGAGCGAACAATATGGTATATTTCCTAGGGGAACGTAAATACTTTTGCAGGGAATGCTGCCACTTCAATGCTTCTCTTATAAGTACTTTTTAAGTTGTTTAAAGTAAATCCAAAGACGCTCAAACAGTGAACCTGCATACTAGATTGACTGTTACATACTTTGTTTGTTGCACAAATAGCCAAAAGGTTATCCTGCTGTAGACATGAGTTTCATAAATGTCATGTTTTGCAGTTTAATTCCACCACATGACATTTACTAAAGTCATGTTAAAGATGAATGTTACGTATATCAATGGCAGGCTTTATTTCCAAGGCATTTTCCAAACAGCACTGTGAGATCAGCGTTGAACCTGATTCTTAAGTTGACTGCTATTATATTTTTAGATTATTACCCTTGGATAAAAGATAGGCAAACTGAATAAATGTAAGTATAACTGAAAACAAAAAGCGTAAAATGGTGAAATCAGTATAAAGTGAAAAACAGTTTCTGTAAATGATAAAATAGGGTTCTTTTTAATGATAGTTTATTTCTATTAATTAAGCATTATCTTAAATTGATATATATATATATATTTGCTACCTGCCATACTGCTGTGCATTAAATCTTGCCACAAGGGGGCACTAGTCTGTCAAAAAAGAACAGAAGACACTAATGTATCATACTTCAACCTCCTTCTTGTTAGTAGAGCGTCGGTAGGTTTGCCATTATTTAGTTTAGATGTTTAGTTGTTAAGCATATTAAAATTATTCTTTGCATTAACACAATGGAAACATATTATTTGTTTATATCCTTATGTCAGTGCAACATATTTTATAATGAAAGCAACTTAATAATACAAAATAAGTGTTTAAAGAACTGGAACTTTAGCAAAGATTTAAAGGGAATCTACAGTTTAGACACAATGGGATAGTCCAGAACAACAATACAGAAAGATTTTAAAGTCCAACTACAGTCAGATTTTTTTAGGTTTGTAGTGGAGAGAAGGGTTATAGCCTCTATCTAGCTTTTATGGCTATGTGCAACTTCACTAGAGGGATGACCCCTCAATATACACTATATTGCCAAAAGTATTGGGACACCCCCAAATCATTTGATTCAAGCATTCCAATCACCTCCATAGCCACAGGTGTTTAAAATCAAGCACCTAGGCATGCAGACTGCTTCTACAAACATTTGTGAAAGAATGGGTCGCTCTCAGGAGCTCAGTGAATTCAAGCGTGGTACCATGATAGGTTGCCACCTGTGCAATAAGTCCATCCATGAAATTACTTTGCTACTAAACATTCCACAGTCAACTGTTAGTGGTATTATAACAAAGTGGAAGCAACTGGGAACAACAACAACTCAGCCACAAAGTGGAAGGCCACGTAAAATGACAGCGTGGGGTCAGTGCATGCTGAAGTACACTGAGCAGAAGTCGGAAACTGTCTGCAGAGTCTATAGCTAAAGATCTCCAAACCTTGTGTGGCCTTCAGATTAGCACAACAACAGTGCATAGAGAGCTTCATGGAATTGGTTTCCATGGCAGAACAGCTGCATCCAAGTCTTACACCACCAAGTGCAATGCAAAGCGTCAGATACAGTGGTGTAAAGCACGTCAGCACTGGACTCTAGAGCAGTGGAAATGTGTTCTCTGGACTGATGAATCATGCTTTTCTGTCTGGCAATCCGATGGACATGTCTTGGTTTGGCGGTTGCCAGGAGAACGGTACTTGCCTGACTGCATTGTGCCAAGTGTAAACTTTGGTGGAGGGGGGGGGATTATGGTATGGGGTTGTTTTTCAGGGGTTGGGCTTGGCCCCTTAGTTCCAGTGAAGGGAACTCTTAAGGCATCAGCATACCAAGATATTTTGGACAATTTCACGCTCCCAACTTTGTGGGTACAGTTTGGGGATGACCCCTTCCTGTTCTAACATGACTGTGCACCAGTGCCTCCAAGCAAGGTCCATAAAGACATGAATGAGCTAGTCTGGGGTGGAGGAATTTGATTGGCCTGCACAGAGTCCTGACCTCAACACGATAGAACACCTTTGGGATGAATTAGAGTAGAGCCACTACAGTTACAGCGGAACTCCACCTGATAATGGAAGTTCTGCCTTATCTCCTCCTCACTCTCCTACTTTTGGAGATTTTTTTTTTCTTAGGAAGCTGGTACATAGTTTTGACAGGTACCTGCTCCCACTATTGCCTAGGCCACATGTGTCAAACACAAGGGCCATAGGCCAAGTCCAGACCACCAGGCCTTTTTATGTGGCCCTCGAACCTCTACTACAGTTGCAACATCCCCCCCCCCCCATCTCCCACTCCACCTTTTCTCAGCAGTCGTGGCAGAGAGGAAGACGAAACTCCTCCTTCATATCCTCTGCTTCTCTGTGCAGCCATGGTAGCAAATGGCAGCAGAGAGCGGGACAAGACTCTTTCTACAGATCCTGGTCCTCTCAGTGCAGCTACAGCACCCCCTTGTCTCTGCTTTTTCTGTTCTCAGCATTCAGCAGACTCCAAATGTGGATTCTAGTCCTCCTTTGGTCCTCCTCCAGACCCTGCACTGTTTCCCAGATCTGCCCCCAGATTCTTCCTGGAAGCAATACAAGTTAAAGGGGGTGCAGGGTGATGTAAGGAAAGGTGGGGGACTCTTGACTTCTGATGGTGGAGGGACTCTTTATATCTGATGTAAGAGGAGTTGTGGTGCTTTGGACATCTAGTCTTACGGATACAACTGCCCTTTTTTTTTTTGTATTAACAATTTATATTGATTTTCACATATATATATATATATATATATATATATATATACAATGAGTAACACAGGAGGAGAAAGACAGAGCACATCAACGACTTCCCTTTTGGGGGCAACCATAATGCTAATGTGGTCTGTGATGAAATTGAGTTTTTCACCCTGGCCTAGGTGATTTGAGCAGAAGTTTTCCCCCACCCTGAGGTCAGCACTGAGGTCAACACAGATAAGTGTCTTTTTGTTAAGAGTCAGCAAATAGACTATTTGTAGCTGCTAACTTTTAACTTTGGGTTTTTTTTTAAACAGAATGAAGATCTTCTTTAAGATGTAAAAAAAAGTTTTAAACCTTCCCAAAAGGATAATTTAGGTTGGAGTTGAGTGTTAATAGAAGCAAGCCAGCTTACCACTGTAAAATAACAAATAAAAAAAAAGTAAAACAGCTTTTCTTGAACCAAAGATTTCAATCTGGTACCTTGTGTAAGAAGATTAATATATCAGAATCCAAAACCCTAGTGGGTGATGATTATAAAAAAATCCCTACTTGAAGGCAATATATCAAATAAATAAACACCCTCGTAACAAATTATATATAAAAGTAGGTAACCAGTCCATAATACAAATTCACCTGCCAATAATCTCTAAACACATAATACACAATGTCTAATAAAGTGAAAAAAGTAATGAAACACGGTCAGATAATGTTCATACAAAATGGCATGCATACCAGATGAGATAGGGGATAACGGTAGAAGCACAAAATACAGAAACATGAAATAGGCGGCAGCACAAGGAAGTCACCTTGCCACAATGCAGGTGGAGCTTCTGAAAATATAGACTGCACTTTTAAAGTGCATCTGTCATGAGAGAAATATGGGGGCTTTCATTGTTGACATTCTGAAAATGCAAGTTCCCTGACCTCCTGATCTATCCATGTACATGAAAGCAGAAGCTCTCCCACGGTCTCTCCCTCCTCATTGGCTGAGACGAAGGAACCATTGGCTCCAGCTGCTGTCAATCACAGCCAGTAAGGAAGTGGGGGGTGGGTCTGAGCCGTGCTCTGTGTGCTTCATAGACACACAGAGGTGGCTTGGGAGCAAGCAGGCATGAGCGCCCCCAGAGCAAGCAGCTTGCTCTGGGGGCACTCAGCAGAGGGAAGGGTCCTGGAGTGCAGGCAGAGGACCCAACATGAGGAGGATAAGGTCTGCTCTGTGCAAAACCATTCCACAGAGCAGGTAAGCATGACATGTTTGTTGTAGAAAAAAAAAAATCAAAACATTTATAGTCATTTTTTTATTTTATATTTTTTTTCATGTTTGGTAATGCATACTGTACAGCTCAAAGCATAACTAAACCCATCGATTTAAAGGTTTCTCAGAACACTTATATTCAAGGCATGCCATGAATGATAACTCTCACAGCCGCTTCTGCTCTCAACCAAACTATCAAACCATCAAAGGCAGCAACGTATTTGCCAAGGGCGGCAATTTTCAGGAGGACAGGACACGTGTCAGGGATGAGAACCTGCTGAGGCTCCACCATGAAATCTGAGGAGGCTGCGTGCTGCTGGAGGGTGTAAGCTTCCCGTTCAAGGAAGACGTTTAGCTTGGCTTCGGGATGGCCGGCTGCTTTCCCGGAGAGGTTAAGGTTAGTGCTTGACTAACCGTCAGGGATTCTGTCGCCATGCAGCCGTGCGATGGCGACAGATCCCCTCAGGCAGTGGCGGTGCGAGTGCGCATGCGTGGGAGCGTGCGGGCGCGCGCATGCGTATGAGCGTGCAAGTGCGCGCATGCGCAGTAGAGTACACGTCACTGCAAGGCGGCTATTTAAACCTGCAATACAGTGTAATCAATGCCTTCTGGTCTATAACATTCTGCACTCCATAACCTGATTCTGTTGCCTGTATCCTGATCTGACCTAAGAAAGAACTCTGCCTGCACTG